AACAAGTACGATGGGCTCAGTACTTTAAACGGTTTGATTTTACTCTAAAATACCTCCCGGGGGGGGGGGGAAACTTTCTGGCGGATGCGCTATCCAGAAAACCGCAATACATTCGTGCAAGGTCAGACGTAATCACACCTATAGTACAAAACAGTCAACTAGCCGCTAAAGTAGTCACCAGAACCCAGAAAAAACAAGAAACAGTGATAGACAATGACATCACCCAAAATTTTAAACAAGCATTGGCCACTGATGAATGGTTTTTGAACAACAAATCCAGCTGTCTGATGAAAGAAGACTTGGCTTGGGTGGGGGGGAAGTTGTATGTCCCTGCAAGCCAAAGACTATGCTTAATGGTACGGTGCCATGACTCCAAATTAGCTGGACATTTTGGGTTTGTGAAAACTTTACAACTGATTAAAAGACAATTTTGGTGGCCATCACTAAAAAAGGACATAGAAAGCTATGTAGCTAGCTGCCCCATTTGTGCAGAAGCAAAAAGACGCCAGGGGAAATCCCCAGGTCTATTGCAGAAGGTAGCTGAACCTGCAGCGCCTTGGAGAGAGATTGCTATGGATTTCATCGTGGAATTGCCAAACAGTGAGGGAAATACTGTTATTTGGGTTGTGACAGACCTATTTTCAAAACAGGCACATTTTATACCCTGCCAAAAGATCCCAACTGCTAAAAGTTTAGCCAAATTATTCCTAATACACATTTATCGACTTCATGGTGCTCCACAAAGGATCATATCCGACAGAGGGGCTCAATTCACCTCCAACTTTTGGAGGGCGTTTTTGGGCTTACTTGGTACTGGCCAGGGGTTGAGCACCTCTTTTCATCCGTGTACTAATGGCAATTCTGAAATTTTGAACTCGGTACTAGAACAATATTTAAGATGTTTCATTAATTTTCAACAGGATAACTGGACCGAACTTTTGCCTTTTGCTGAAGTTGCGTTTAATAATGCTGTACATTCAAGCACTGGTTTTACCCCTTTTAGAGTAGCAACAGGCCAGGATTTCAGCCCCATGCCTGAACTACCCACAGAAGAACCCACCATCCCCTCATTCAAAGAGTGGATGGATAATTTGCGAAACACGTGGCCAGTGGTTAGATTAGCCTTACAGGAAGCTAGAGAAGCTTTTAAGATTCAAGCTGACAAGAAAAGGATGGAACCCAAACCTTTTCATATTGGAGACAGAGTATACTTATCTACAAAATTCTTGAAATCATTACAACCATCAAAGAAACTAGGGCCAAAGTTCGTTGGACCTTTCCCCATCACTAGAATTATAAATCCAGTAGCAGTTGAACTACTTCTTCCAAAGACACTCAGGCAGATCCACCCAGTATTCCATATCAGTTTACTCAAACGAGAAGTAACCTCATCCCTCAGACCACCTGCATCTACACCATCTGTTCCCATCATGATTGAAGGTGAACAACACTTTGAAATCAAGGAAATCCTTGATTCTAGAATCCACAGAGGGAAAGTTCAATACTTAGTTGCTTGGAAACATTTACCATCAGCACACAATGAATGGGTTGCTAAACACCACGTTAGGGCTCCAATCTTACTGAGAAAATTTCACTCCCAATACCCTAACAAACCTTGTTGATCTACTATTATGAAATCTTGAAATCTTGTGTATATTTGTTTTTGTTTTTTTTACAGGTGGACCCTTTTGTTTTCTAAGGAGGGTAGCATGTCAGATCCCTAAAAGTGATACTGCCATTCAAGTGAAGGAAGGGGGGACTTGGATGGCCTGTGTCATCAGATATTTTACAACCTATATCCTGGCGCCAAAGAAGCCTGAGATTCCCTTTACCTGCAGGAATTTATATGATAGCCATGTGGGTTGTCTCACTTTAAAGGGAAGTGGTGGGAATGCATGTGTGTTCGGGTTCTCAAAGGAAATAGTAAAGAAAACATCTTCACACTTGTGTATTGGCTGAAATCCGCATTCTGACCTAAAGGGAGGGGTCTCTACCACTTTAATCCTACTGCTTTGCCTAAGGGCATTCAGATTGTGCTTTAACTGGATGGTTTTCACTTCTGCTTAATAAAAGAATCCTTTTGAACAACTACGTTTCAAGAGTTCGTACTTTCTTAAGTTGGAAGGAGAGGCGATCCTTACACAAGGTTTTCCTATCTACGAAGTACTTACAAACCACCCCAAAATCAAAGAAACTGGGGCCCAAGTATGTAGGCCCCTTCCCCATAGTCAGAATCATCAACCCGGTCACAGTACAGTTAGAACTCCCCAAAACGCTTAGGTGGATCCATCCAGTATTTCATATTAGCTTGCTCAAGCCTCAACTAGTGTCTCCTCTTTGGCCTGCCAAGCCTGCCCCTCCCCCCTAGTTCCCCTCCTCTTAGAAGGGGAACAGCACTTTGAAGTCAAGGAAATCCTAGATTCCAGGAAACATAGGGGAAAGTAAGTATTTGGTGGCCCGGAAACACTTCTCTCCCTCACAATCTGAATGGGTGGATGCTCTGGACATCTGGGCTCCCAAACTCCTTTAGTTATTTCACCAAAAATACCCTGATAAACCATAATGTTCCTTTACTCTCCTGTACTGTAGGTTACTCTCTGTAACCTACAGTACAGAGAACATAGTTCCCAAAGAACATAGTTCTTTGTTTTTTTCCTTTAGGGCTAACGCCTCTACTGCAGGAGAGCTGAATGTCAGCCAGATCTCCAGCAAGGGATTCTACTTTGATGCATGCTTACTATCAGCTGCCATAGTAACTGGGAGGGGGGGGGGTGGCATTTGGGTTGGGGAAGTGAGCTGGGGAGGTGAAGTCCTCTGTGAACTAAAAGGGAGGTTTGCTCTTAATAATTACTGTGTCGCTGAGTGGAGTTGTTTACATCCTGTTAAGGCCAACTGTCCTAGGACTCCAGATGGGTAAAATACCTGAAGATGAGCTTCACACAACATCATACTGGATGTTGATTGGACACTCAGCAAGGGGAGGGATTTGGGCAGTGGTGAAATCTAAAATTTGTTACTACCAGTTCTGTGGGCATGGCTTAGTGGTGGGGGTAATGTGACTGGGTGGGCGTGGCCAATTTTTTTTTTTACTTTTAAAACCATCTTTTCTACAACCTCTTCTGCAAAGAGGTTGTAAAAAAATGCTTTCAAAAGGCTCTGACGATCCCAGCTGAGTTGCCTGATTGGCAGAGCCTTTTTTTTCTTTTAAATGCCTCTTGACGATCCAAGCTGAGTTGCCTGATCGTCAGAGGCATTTAAAAGAAAAAAGGCTCTGCCAATCAGGCAACTCAACTGGGATTGTCAGAGCCTTTTGAAAGCATTTTTTTCTACAACCTTTGAAGAGATTGTAGAAAAAATGCTTTTAAAAGCCTTTGATGATCCCAGCTAAGCCACACGATCATCAGAGGCTTTTTTTTTTACTTTTAAAAACATTTTTTCGTCGGAAGAGGTTGTAGAAAAAATGCTTTTAAAAGTAAAAACAAAAAGCCTCTGATGATTGTGCGGCTCAGCTAGGCATGGTGAGGGGGCAGGGATTTTTGCCTCCGGTTCTCCGAACCACCCGCCTCCCTTGCTACCAGATCAGGCAATCCGGTCCGAACCGGGAGCATTTCACCCCTGGATTTGGGGAAACTTTCAATCTGTAACTTTCACACATTTTGAATCGGATCTTGCCTTGCTTTCACTGTTGTCATTTCAAACTCAGTAAAAGTACTCCTTCTCTACATCAATGGAGTTGGCATGGGGGGGGGTTCTTCTTGGGTTTTGAATGGAGGCAGGCCTGACATATGGCTTCTCTGTCACATTGTTTGCCTTTTGGAGCAACATTTCACTGAGATTCAGATAGCCACAAATCTGTTAGCCTGTGGGGAAGAGATTGCAAATCTATCACTTTTATCTGGGGTTGGAGTTAGATTGTTAGGCTAACCCAAACTTTGTGATTTGAATGAGAAATGTTGCTTTTACTGTATCATTTTTGTTATAGGTTTTTTCAAATTTTTTTCCTGAGTTTCCTATCTTGGTTTTTAGTGTATTATAGCTTCCCAGAGTAGGAGAACAGGTTGGATGGCTATATAAATTATATGAATAAAGCAGCAAACAAGGGAAGAGAAGGCAACAAATTAAGCCTGAGATTCCAACAGACAAGGAGGGAAGACCCCGGTAGAGAATAAAAATAAATGCAGGACAAAAAATAAAAGATAAATAAATAGGCAAATAATAAGGACAAGTGTGGAAAAGTAGAAATCAAGAAAGAATAGGATTAATAAAGATCAATCAAATAAATGAGGCAAATCTTGAATAATAATATAGGGGGGAACTGAAGCTCAAAACCTTTTTAAAAATATATGGAAGAAAGGGATAAATAAAACTAATATAATAGTAAGCAAGGAAAATAAATAAAAAGGTATAAAAACAAGCACAAAAAGGCAGGAAAAAAGGATAGGGAAAAAAAAAAGATACAAAACTTTTTACCCTTTAGAGAACCAGCAAAAAGATACAAACTCATGGATCAGGTGACTGATACTATTGTGGTATGCAATATATGTTCCATGTATGTCCTTATGCCCAAAGAACACCCAAATTATGCACATATTAAATGTAAGCTATGTGAGCTACTAGAGGAAAAAGTATGGGATCTAGAGGCAGCTCTAGCCAAATTCCAACTTATGCAAGAAAGCTATGCTCAAATTGAACCAAATAACAAACAAATAACTCCCAGAGGATTTGACCCTGCTGATAAACCCTGGGAGGAAGATAAATGTCACACATAGAAGGAAACACAATAATCAAAGAAAGAAGCAGCAGACATCTAACAAACCCTTGCTGCCCAATCTAACCCAATCTAACCCAATCAGAAGCAGCCCCATTAAAACTGAGCAACCAATTTCTCCCCCTAATTGAAAATACTCAGACCCACAACCTCCCCCTCAAAGAAAACATGCAAACACTTAGAAAAGAGACATCATCCAATATCCCTAAAAAAATCACATCAACAAACTCACCTAGATAAAAGAAAAGCACCACACACTGCATCCCCTAAAAAAGGAATGTGAATGTTGGTGATTGGAGATTCTATTCTCAAAGGAAAAGAACCAGCCATCTTGTCACCTCACGGTTAGATTATTGCAACGTGCTCTACATGGGGCTACCCTTGAAAGGTGTTCGGACACTACAGTTGGTCCAGAACGCAGCCGCGCGAGCTGTCATGGGTACACCTAGGTGCACCCACATTACACCAATTCTCTGCAAGCTGCACTGGCTCCCTATTGGTCTCCGGTCACAATTCAAGGTGTTGGTTATTACCTTTAAAGCCCTACATGGCTCAGGGCCAGGGTATCTTCGAGACCACCTTCTACCGCATAACTCCCAACGACCGGTAAGATCCCACAGAGTTGGTCTCCTCCGGGTCCCATCAGCTAAACAATGCTGGCTGGCGGGCCCGCGGGGGAGGGCCTTCTCTGTGGCTGCCCCAGCTCTCTGGAACCAGTTACCTCCTGAGGTCTGGACCATCCCCACCCTATTGGCCTTCCGAAAAGCTGTGAAGACCTGGCTTTTCTGGCAGGCCTGGGGCTGTTGATTTTGCTCTTGCGATCCAGCGAGATCCGGCCATGAATAGTGTGAATGAGTTTTAATGTTTTTAATTTTTAAATGTTTTTTATAATGATTTTAAATGCATTGTGAGCCACCCTGAGTCTTCGGAGAGGGGTGGCATACAAAATAAATAAATAAATAAATAAATAAATAAATAAATAAACAAACAAACAAACAAACAAACAAACAAACAAACATCTGCAGACTGGACATACAATCAAGGGAGGTATGTTGTCTCCCTGGAGCAAAAATCAAGGATGTGGCTGAGAACCTAACCAAAATAATTAGGCCCACAGATTACTACCTTTTTCTACTACTACATGTAGGGAAGAATGACACAAAAAAGGACTTGAAAACAATATTGAGTGATATTGTTCTGTTACCAGATGTTGACCTTTCGTTGCTCGTAAGAGCAGCTAGGCAAGAAAGTTAAGGAGTTAGGTGCACAAGTAATTTTTTCATCTGTACTGCCAACGAAAGGTCAACATCCAGTAAGAGAACAAAGGATTCTAGAATTGAACCACTGGGTAAAGGGTTGCTGTCGCCAAAAAACCTTTGGATTCCTGGACCATGGTCTGCACTACCTCCATGATGGGCTTTTGGCAAGGGATGGGCTGCACCTCACAAAGACTGGGAAGAATGTTTTCAGAAAATGACTGGCTCAATTTATCAGGAGAGCTTTAAACTAAAATTGAGGGGGGAGGTTGACCAATCTCCAGGAGTTAATTCCAAGCAAAAACCCATAGAAAACAAGTCAAATAATGAGGTAAGGAGAGATAGCAAGGAAGACAAACTCAAATACCAAATAGGAGACACAGGAAGCATACCCAGAGTCAGACATAAAGACCTCAAGTGCCTATATATAAATGCACAAAGTCTGGAGAACAAACAGTGTGACCTTGAACTATTAATACATGAAGGTAGATATGATACCTTGCATCTGTAATTCTGTTGGAATTACAGAAACTTGGTTTTGAAACTAACAAAACAATTCCCCCCTCCCCCGTTACAATGGCAGCCATAAACAAGCAAGCAATATAGAAGCGGAGGCTGACACAAACTAGAAATAAAAATAAAAATAAACAAAAAAATTGGTAAGAGAACACCTGTTCGATCTTGATGAATACAAATCATTGGTACCTAATGGATTACATTCCAGTGTTCTAAAGGAGTTGGCAGATGTCATCTCAGAACCACTGTACCGTATCTTTCAAAAATCCTGGAGCACTGGGGAACTACCAGAGGACTGGAAAAGAGCTAATATGGTTCCTATCTTCAAAAAAGGAGGGGGAAAAAAAACAGACCCAGGAAACTAGAGACCAATCAGCCTAACATCAATATCCGGGAAGATACTGGAAAAGATAATAATAATTTTTAAAAAACAGATCTGTCAACATCTAGAAATGAGTAAAGTAATAACTAGAAATCAGCAGTTTGTTAAAAACAGATCATGCCAAACCAATCTTATTTCATTCTTCAACATAGTGACTAAATTAGTAGGCCAGCAAAATACTGTGGTCATAATAGATTTCAGCAAGGCATTTGACAAAGTAGACCACAACCTACTTCTTGGTAAACTAGAAAAAAGTGGGATAGATAGCATCACAATCAGATGGATTTGTAACTGGCTGACAAACCATATTCAACAAGTTCTTCTTAATGGTACTACATCTACATGGAGGGAAGTAAGCAGTGGGGTACCACAACATTCCATCTTAGGCCCCGTACTCTTATGAATATCTTCATAAACGACTTAGATGAGGGAATAGAAGGGGAACTTACCAAATCTGCAGATGATACTAAGCTGCCAGGAATAGCTAACACCCTAGAAGATAGGCTCAAGATCCAGATGGATTTTGACAGACTTGGCCCTATCTAACAAAATGAAATTCAATGTAGAGAAAAATAAAGTCTTACACCTAGGCAAGAAAAAACAAAAGTACACATATAGACTGGGTGAAACCAGGCTTAATAGCAGTAACTGTGAGAAGGATCTTGGATTCTTAGTGGACAACCAATTAAATATAAGCCAACAGTGTGTGGCAGCAGCCAAAAAAACCAATGCAATCCTAAATTGCATTAACAGAGGGATGCAATCAAGATCAAGTGAGGTACTAATACCACTCTATAAAGCCTTAGTAAGACCACACCTAGAGTACTGCATCCAGTTTTGGTCACTACACTATAAAAAGATGTTGAGACTCTAGAAAAGAGTGCAGAGAAGAGCAACTAAGATGATTAGAGGACTGGAGGCTAAAACATACGATGAACGGTTTCAGGAATTGGGCATGGCTAGTCTAGTGAAGAGAAGGACCACGGGAGACATGATAGCAGTGTTCCAATATTTGAGGGTCTGCCATAGAGAGGAGGACTCAAGCTATTTTCCAAAGCACCTGAAGGCCAGATAAGAAATAATGAATAGAAACTGAACAAGGAGAGATTCAACCTAGAAATAAGGATAAATTTTCTGACAGTGAGGGCAATTAACCAATGAAACAAGTTGTGGGAGCTTCATCACTGGAAGCTTTCAAGAAGAAACTGGATTGTCATCTGTCAAAAATGGTGTAGGATCTGCTTGGGTGGGGGATTGGACTAGATGACCTACAAGTTCCCTTCCAACTCTGTTAATCTATAAGGATTCTGTGAGGCCAGCTTTTAAAAATGCAGATTTGGTAATCCATTCAGAAAGAATGGGTCAAGACTCAGATAAACAGCAAGCAAAAAGTTGACAAAATTAGCTCAAACAAACACCTAGGATTTGCATTTCCTTTTTCCTACAGAGCCAGCTATGATCCATACAGCCAATAGAATATATGTTCTTGCACAGGAACAGGAAGCTCAAATGAAAAACCCAAAAGAAGGTATAACCCCACCACCCTCAACTCCATTTTGTCAGCTACCTGGAACCACAAACATGTGGTTCTGCTTCATCAATAAACCATCTTTCCAATAAGCCTCAATTTTTCCAGTGTCTTTCTCCCAGCTTGGAACTGAACCAGATAGATTTTCCTTCCAACAATTTGGCACCCTAAACCGGGACTCCAAGCTAACCTGACCAATGGACCTGGCCCAGGTAAGCCTCCCTTACTGGCAACAGACCCATTGAGTCTGGGTGGGTTCTCCTAGACTTTGGCCATTTGGAACAAGGGTAGTAAATGGAGTGTTGAGTGTTGAGTTCAAAGGCTGCTTGGAAAGAAGGTGAGTACCTCTACATTTTAACTTTTGAAGCCCAGAAAAGTGAGGGAAATGCGTATATGCCTATGTGTGTGAGTGGGAGGACCCTTCTCCCAATCACAGCTGGATCCTGCTCCCTCTGTGCCTTTCCCTAACTGCAGAAAGATCTATTCTTCCAACAGAGCCAAGAAAGCATGGGGGATTTGCCAGAGCGCAGGACCTTCTGTTAAGGAAAAGGGAGAGGCTGTGGGAAAATGGAATGGAAAAGTGAATGAGAGAGTTGAACTTGAGCAACCAGCTGGGAAGTCACTGAGCAAAGCCCTGTGTTAGGAGGTGCCCGTACTCACTGCTTAGGAGAAGCAGCAGATGCTCCCAAACCCCCGAGGTTCTGAAAACTGATGGCAGAGTTTAGGAGGTGCCTGTACTACTGCATAGGGAACAGCAGGTCCTCCCAGACCCCTTTTTGGTTCAAAAACTGACAGCGGAGAAGTAGACCTGGCTAAGTCAAAATGAACTCCACATCAGAAGGGGAACATGGGAAGCTGTACCTCGAGAGTTGTGATAGAACCCCCCCAGGTGATTTGATCAAGGCATGGGATGAGCAGCAGATGCCCATCCTGGCTGGTAAAGATATGAGCAAGGAAATTGTGTAAAGAGTGGGCTTTGCTCAGGGAAGAAGCTGGAAAACCACTTTGGCTAAATTAAAAGGTCCTTAAAAGAAAAAGGATATATATAAACATTGGGTTGTTTTTCTTTTCTTCCTGTCTTCTATGCAACCAGATAATATGTTTGTTCTGCCTTCCCTAAATTGAGTTAACTGAGACTTACTGTGGAAATGACCAGGGTGTAAACCTGAGATGTTCTGTTTTTCTCTCCTTTTCTCTTTTCCCTGTCTTTGTATGCATATGTGTATCCAAGTCTTTTGTGTGCCCTCGAGATAATGGTAACTGTTAAATGTCTCTGATCGCTAGAGACAAGAATTTTAAATTGTTTTTTAAAAAAGAGTTAAAACAATGAAAAGAAAATGCCTTCACCCTAGTTTGTCTGGCCAACAAAATAGAGTGGAGAGAACTGTATTCACTTTTCTCACCCTTTCCTCTCTGTACCTTTAAGAACAGCCCAAGGTTATAAGGGAATGTTTTATTCTTTGTTGTAAGCCGCCCAAAGTCCCTTGGGAGTTGGGCAGCATAGAAATGTGACAAAATAAATAAAATAAATAAATAAGTTCATTAACAGGAAAAATTTCATTCTTGCATTTACTGTATGTGTTTAAGTGGTTTTATCTGTCTATTTAACATCTGCAATGTTAACATTAATGTTTTTTCAAACTTTGCCTGCAAGCTATCTATCCACCCCCACTCCTCCTCTCCATCTCTTATCCTCCAACAATGCCTTTCCTAGGAGGATCACCCACAAAGAGGCAAGGGGGCCCTGTTCTCATATTTTTCAGCCCTGCACAGACAACTCTGCAACCTTTGGAAGCAGATCACATTGACCCTGATGCTGCCTCCAGAGGAGACCTTCCATTCATTTGAGGCAAAGAACTGGATTTGGAACCAGTCACCCAAAGAGTCATCACAGCAACCAGAATGGAGCAGACCTTCCCAAGCCTGATTGACTGGCCTTACCATCAAGCCAAGCATGACGCCACCCA